AGCTGGTGAAGAACCTGATCAAGCTGAGCGTGAAGGCGGGGATCCTCCACCGCAACGACCAGTTCAACGCCGAGGAGCTGGCGATGATCGAGGAGTTCCGGAGGAAGTTCCTCAACCTGGGGAAGACGGTCATCAGCTTCCAGGAGGTCGAGTTCTCCTACGACCGGGCCTTCCTCGTGGCGCGCATGCGCGAGTGCAGGAACCTGTTCCAGGGGATCGTGCAGAGACATCTGACGGAGAAGAGCGTGAACAGGATCGAACTGATCTTCAGGTTCTTCTCGGATCCGGCGTTCTTGGATCAGGCGTTTCGGAAGGATTATCCGCACCGGGAGATCGTGGATCGGATCGTGCAGGACCTCCACAAGTCCATCGAGGAGGGGCGATTGTGATCCGCAGTGATAAAAAAAAATCGTTTCGTCACGTGATATTCCAGGAAGGTAATTTATGGGGAGGATTCCGCGGGTTTTCGCGGGCTTCCGCGGGTTTCCGCGAATCGTGACGAGTTATTGGATACTGATCTGTGTTATTTCGAGAATACAAATTCTGTGTTTCGCTGCGTCTTTCTCTTTCCGCCCTGTTAATCCTGATCCTTAATCCCTCGCGTCACCTGGAAAGGCGATCTCGATCTTTTAAAATTTCCTGTGGATATTTTTTTTCTTCTCGGCACGGCTAAAAAAAAAAAAAAAAAAAAACTGGGACGATTTTTAAACCGGGGCAAGGCCGTGCGGTTTGCGGGTAATTGCGCTGCTCCCGTTCCCGTCATTTGCCTGGAATTTGCCCCGAGAGCCGATTCCTCGATTTGTGAGCTTAATGGCTAGAAACCCGTCCGTTCCGGTGGCAATTATCCAAAGATGGTAATTATCCATAGATGGCAATTATCCGAATTCCCCATTAGGAAGGCCTTTGTCGATTTACCGGTTAATTGCGTCCCAGTCCAGATGAAATTCTGGTTTAGCAGCGGTTTGAACGACTCGCTGCGCCAAAAATTTTTGCAACATTCCTTGCAAAAATTTTCGCACCAGGCTGCAATTCCACCTGCTAGTTGCCGATTGCAAAAATCTCCGAATATCGCGCGGTCCAATGATTATTTAATTTAGAAAAAAAAAACCATTTAAATGATCCAGTAAATTATTCTCTTCGCGTCCTTGACCTTTTCTTGCCTCCTGGTGAGAGCTTAAATAAAGGTTAAAAGTTCCCCGAGCGGAATGGAAAAAGCGACTTTCCGTTCCTTTTCGACTCTGAGAAATCCAAGCGACACAAATTCGGTACAATATTTTTTATTATAATATAATTTTATTGTCATTATCATAATTTTTATATCTTTGAGCCACTTCCTCTCGGACCCCAACGAAAGCGACGCAAAAGCCA